TCAGAACTAGTCCCAATAAGTAAAAGGAGTTTTCGGGATTAAGTTTTCAAGATGTTAGGATTAGTGAATCAGCTGTATATATCACTATAAAAAAATCAAAAACGGATCCTTTGGGTTTAGGTAAATGTGTAAAGTTAAATGCGTGCTCTGACCCATTGTTATGTCAAGTTTTTAGCAGGTTAGGCCTGTTGTTAAAACACATTTTTTTATTCATCTAGACCTGTCCCCTGCGGGAAAACCTTGGCTCGCGACGATCTGGAAGTTTCTGTCAGCTGCATATAAAAGAGGGGACACAAGGAGAGGGGGGCACTCGGCTGGACTTTCACCACGGCAAGCTCCCCACCCGCCCTCCCTTATCATAAAATGTTGTAATTATTAATATTATGTTTATTTAATGTCACGGGCTTTTATGTGGTAGTGTCACCTCTTAATTTAGAGGGGGACTTTAAGTCTGATTTAGAATGGTTTAATCATTGCTTGAGTTTTATGACTAAGCAATCTACGGTTGGTTTTGATGTTTTAAGATTTTAACGTTTTATTTAAATACATTTAAGGTATTAAACCAATAAAAGTGCCGCGGCCATTTTATCCAAATATTTTGGTGTCTGTGTCTTTATTATTAGAAATATAGTACCGCCTGCAATTCCATGAGTGTTGCTGTTCATTCATAACCTTTGGACAGAGTGTGTTTACTATAACCCCAATCATGAATGAACAGGAGGTGATCACTTCCCATACATTCATAATTGGAGACACAGTAAACATACTATGTCCTCAATTATTTACAAACATTCAGCAATCACTGATCGCTGAGTGTTTGTACCGCACTCTTTCCTGACACGCTGCCACAGGAGGCTGAGCGGTGCGGGAGGAGAGCTCAGCCTGCTGTGACAGCGCGGGTTATCTCCGCCCACACAGCGCTCTGCCGATCTGTGACAGGAGGCATCCTCATTGGCCATCTTCCCAACCAATCAGAAAACTAGGCCGCGAGTCATTACATTACATGACGAGGGAGCAAAGAGCCGGCTTCCTGGCCAATCAGGAAGCCAAGCAGCATGTAATGACTTGCTGCCCAGCTTCTTGACACTGGAAGTTTGGGTTTCGGGTTAGGCATCAGAGCTCGTACACGCCCAAATACTCGGTATCAGCATCGATACCGATTCTAGTATCGGTGCATCCCTAGTAATATACCACTAAAAGCATTTTGTTATATCTGCTCAATAAGTGACAAAGAAATAACTGTTGATCTTGCCAACTGATACCTTCCTGTGCTCTCTGCCTGCGCTGCAGTCTTATCAGTCATTGTTCCCCAGTTATCTCTGAGAATTACAGAACCCCTTTCCTCTATTTTATGAATTAAAAGAAAATAAGGGGGGGGTGTTCTATAGACCTGTCCTGTGGTGACAACCCTGCTTTTCTATAGATAACGTATGATAAGCGTTGTCACCCTAGGGCAGGAAGCGTGTTGCTGGCAGGTGAAAATAAAGGAAAAAAAATAAAATGAATGCAGCCACCACATCTAAGGACTGGTAAGCTTCAATAAACTACATTTTTATTGTTGGGTTTGGGTGCACTTTAACATATGAGAGTTATTACTGGTAAAGGAGCAATGTTCAGATTGCAGTACATGATAGTAGACAATTAGTAGTGCTCTATTGCCCCCTTTGCCCTGCTGATTGCTGCACCCTGCTTGGCATCATCTGTCTTATGGCTTTATAAGGAGAGCCCAGGTGATAAGCATATTGGCCACTCCCAGGTCTGTTCGCTGCTTGGCATCACTTCTCTGTGCATGGCTTTATAAGGAGAGCCCAGGTGATCAGCATATTGGCCACTCCCAGGTCTGTGCGCTGCTTGGCATCACTTCTCTGTGCATGGCTTTATAAGGAGAGCCCAGGTGATCAGCATATTGGCCACTCCCAGGTCTGTGCGCTGCTTGGCATCGGTTTTCTGTGCATGGCTTTATAAGGAGAGCCCAGGTGATCAGCATATTGGCCACTCCCAGGTCTGTGCGCTGCTTGGCATCACTTCTCTGTGCATGGCTTTATAAGGAGAGCCCAGGTGATCAGCATATTGGCCACTCCCAGGTCTGTGCGCTGCTTGGCATCGGTTTTCTGTGCATGGCTTTATAAGGTAAGCCCAGGTGTTCTGCATATTGGCCACTCCCAGGTCTGTGCGCTGCTTGGCATCGGTTTTCTGTGCATGGCTTTATAAGGTAAGCCCAGGTGTTCTGCATATTGGCCACTCCCAGGTCTTAAAAGGAAATCATATGCCAAGCAGAATTGTATTTCGCTATAAATAACCATAAGATTAGGACTACGTTGACTCTGCCATCAGAGAAAACTCTTATTAGTTCCCGCAGATCACATCTGTCACTATTCTTTGCTCAAGGTATTATGTAATACGGGAATACAGCTCACAGGTGTTGCCACTTTAAGAAGAGTTGCACATGCTCAGTGGTGTTCACAGCTCTAGCTGGAAATTGACTGCGAAATTACAGTGCGGGGTCTTTATAGGTGAGTGGTCACATGACCTTTCATTCACTGACGTCTCTGCTGCTGTATGAGTCTGATTTTCAGAGGGGGGAGTATGGCATTGTTTTTGCTGCGACTCATGTTTGGTGAATACAAGCGGTGTGTGCATAGTATTCATTGTGCTGACCATTATTTCTTTCTTTTTTATTGTAAAAGAAGAATGGAGTTTTAGTTCCCCCCCTTAATTTCAGCTTGATCATTAACAACCAACCTTAGCAGTCCAGCTTTTGTGGAACTACAAGTCCCACAATGCATTGCTAAACTCTGAGAGGCACAGGCATGACTCCCAGAAGCAGAAGTAGTTTGCCACAGCTGGAGTGCAGAGGTTGCCTACCCATGAAATATTGGTAAACCATCAAAATATAAATCTATCTTACATTTTTAGCGAAATTGAGAAACTTGGCATTCACATTTTTTTTCATGCCAAAGCCATTGAATCCACATATTACTTTTATGTGATGTTACTGTGCAATAATTAACTGTATGACAGACACAAGAGAGAAATGGAAGGATGTAGAGAGAGCAACAGTGAGAGATAAGCACACTCCCCCACCTTTAACTTCAGATTGCTCCCCTCCTTTCACATCAGATTCCCCCTCCTCCTTTCACATCAGAGTCCCCCTCCTTTTTTCACATCAGGGTCCCCCTCCTCCTTTCACATCAGAGTCCCCATCCTCCTTTTACATCAGAGTCCTCCTCCTCCTTTCACTTCAGAGTCCCCCTCCTCCTTTCACATCAGAGTCCCCATCCTCCTTTCACATCAGAGTCCTCCTCCTCCTTTCACTTCAGAGTCCCCCCCCTCCTTTCACATCAGAGTCCCCCTCCTCCTTTCACATCAGAGTCCCCCCCCTCCTTTCACATCAGAGTCCCCCTCCTCCTTTCACATCAGAGTCCCCCTCCTCAGATAAGTAAAAGTCCTTTACACATGTATCCTAGACCTAAACGAGCAGTTAACCCATGCAGTGCAGGGGCAGCCCCACTGCAAGGGGAGTTTTTTCACTTCAGAGTCCCCCTCCTCCTTTCACATCAGAGTCCCCCTCCTCAGATAAGTAAAAGTCCTTTACACAGGTATCCTAGACCTAAACGAGCAGTTAACCCATGCAGTGCAGGGGCAGCCCCACTGCAAGGGGAGTTTTTTCCCCCCAGGGGTAGGCTTTGAGCAACTGTTTCAGGTCTCTGGGAGATGATCTGCATCTGCAGGCTGTGCTGGTGAGGAAGTGATGTCACCAGAGGGAGGAAGAAATGGGCAGAGAGCCCAGAAACTCCCAACCCGGCCTCACCTTCCCTCTACATGTCTCTGCAAAGGTAAAAATGTCTTAGCAAGGACAGAGGGAGCAATGGTGGAATATGCAGTGATAGGGGAGATGCTGGGTAGCAGAAAAGTGCTGTGTCGGGGTGTAGGGGGGGTGCAGAGGTAGGAAATGCTGGAGGACAGGGGTATGTCAGGGTACAGAATGGCTGGGGGTACTCAGTTCTTCATAGGCTGTCCACTTATCTCCCTGCAGAGAAGCTTCTTTGACTAAGTACCACCAGATATGGTGTAGCCTCCTAGACAGCATCAGCGGTTGATCCACAATACAAAGGGAGGTTCGGTAAGCACAGGGAAAGGGGTGATTAGAATTAAGTTATTTGACAGTATATTTAGCATTCAGGTTCCCTTTAAACCTCTGCGTTCCAGTTATGTGATTTTTACAGGGCATTACCCCACAGCACCGTAACAGTCCTCCCCTCTCACTCTTACCACCGTAGCTGACCCCCATCTTCTCCAATTCCACCCCACCCAGCAGCATACCTGCACACCAATCCCCACACTCACCACAATTCCTGACCTCTATCCCCCCCTTCTCTCCCCACCTCTCCCGCACGTCGCCACTTCACTCGCCACTGCACCAATGCCCACCTCTGTGTTCACTGCCAAGGTATCAGTATGCACTCCTGTGCTTGCCACCACAGCACTGACCAGCCTTTCTGCATTCACGTTTGCTAGTAAATTGTAAAAATACATAATCCTCCCCCCTCCCCCCCCTAGACACCAGGGAACAAGGGGGCACATAATTTACAATATATTTTATTCCATAAGACAAGAGCAATGAAAGGAGCTGATATGTTACAATCGAATTACTAGCTGTCGGGACAAAATTGGGTGTTTATAAAGTCAGGGGATTCAGGGAAATGTAGTGCACACAGTGTGCAAAAATCAAATGATGGCACCATTACAGGTAGAACTCTCTATGCCAGGGTCCCCAGGGCAGAAGAGACACCAATGGTACATCTAATGCAGGTGATATCTGGCCATTCTCAGATTCACCCAAATGATGTTGTTGGCATGTATTTGATGCCAGATAATAATGGGCCTATTTCTTCAACTCTGGACTCACAAGTCACATATTCAGTGTTCAATCCTTCCTCTAATATTACAAATGTAGTAACCTTAGATTTTTACTTCTAAGGGGAATCCAACCGTGAAGTATGAAGGTTAAGAGAATAGTATTGGCATCAAGGCCAGGTAAGTGCTTTATGCTTTGCTAGTATAAAAAAGAATAAGGTTGCACCTTCTGTTTAACATTTGATATATATACAGTATGTTTCCTACAATCATTTTTTTTTATTGAAAATGACACTAAACTCAGGATTTAAATTTGAAAAATACATTCAAGTAGCTTAACTATTACCAAAAATGTATCTTATTTGTGTATCACTCGGCTGTAGATCCTCAAATCATCTCTGAATCGGTGCTGACGCTGTCTTTCCTTCTGGAGGGTGGCTACTTTTGTTCCCCATGGTCCCTGTGTGTGTTGTAAAGTAGTCACCGCTCAACGCTGAGTCCCGTGATGGACTACAATATCAATACAAATTAGTAAACTAAAAGGGTGAAGAGTTTGGAGAAGGCAGGAGAAGTGAACAATCTAGGCCAAAATAGCTGAACCGGAAAGTGAGCTGAATTGGAGGCTCTTTTTAAATCAGCTATGTTGTCCTAGATTGTTCACTTTTCCTGCCTTCTCCAAACTCTTCACCCTTTAGTGAATAACCCTGTAAATGTGAGATTGTAGTCCATCACAGGAGTGAGCTCAGATTGGTGGATACTTTACAATGCACACAGGTACCATGGCGGACACAAATACAGCAAAAAAATAAATCTGAAAAAAAAAAGTTTTTGCCACACTTGTATCTGTTTTACAATTTGTAGTATATTACAATGGTTTACTGCATAGGAAGTTTATGGGCCCGCTTACATTATTGTGGTGCATTAGCACATGTACGTCATGCTGTGCATTAATTTGCGTTGGTTTAAGGCAGCTATTCATTTAAATAGGCTGCCTAACGAACCAGAATGCACCAGTTACTCCAGAGATTGGTGGCCATGGTCAATAGAAGGTGTCTCTAAAGTTTAATATGACACAACATTTTACAACTTCCAATGCCAGATTGTGTTTTAACTTTTGGAATCCAGTTACAGGACTCAAAGCCAGAAAGAAAGTTGGTTCTGGAAGTCTTCCCTCTACCAGACAATGTAGTTATAGGTGTGGATATGGAGCAGGTAGCTATGTAATGGCCATCAGCTGTCAATGACTGAGGGACCCACTCTCTTTGAGGTCTGAATGGTGAAATATCTCCACCCAGGGCCACCAGCCCAACATATCTTATTAGTACTGGCCTAGGAGGCAAATGCCTTCCTGCCATCCCACCCAGTCCTCTCCTGATAGTTGGCCACATTTTAAGCACACGTTTGGACACATCATACTGAAAAATAAATGAACACTTGCAATGGCCCAGCCAATAGGAATATTTTTTTGAAGGATGGGGAAATCCTTATCTGATCTCACACATTCAGGAGTCCCATTTTATCATTTATTGTATGTGCAACACTATAGTAGATGTGTGCTGTTATTTACACCTGCAATATTCCACTGATGCAATACTTAAAGTGCCTGTACACCCTAACAAAGAACTTCTCTTATTTCCTCCCTTTTGGTCTAAATTTAACATTGAAAGTGTTTTATATATATATAGATATATATA